GTTGAACAGAAAAGAGAAACAGCCCTTTCTGAAGAAATTTTCCTCTGTTATTTTTCAAAATATTTTCCCCTTTAAAAGAGTACTTTCATAGTCCCCATGGCTAATGGAGGGAAGTGGTATTAAACAGCATGGCTTCTGCTTTTGAACTAATACTAAACAGGAAAGAGGGAGAAGGAAGTTGTTTTAAAACTCCAAGAGGAGGAGAAAAAAAGATTCCTGATTGCACAGTCCTACAACTCTGGCATTGATGTTCATCTCCTATGGCTTGTTGGCAGGCGAGGGGGAATTTGTTCATGTTCGCTGGTGGGTTAGTCAGCATTTGCTTTGATAATATGATCTGTCTGTTTTTCTTTTAACAGTTGTTTCTCCTCCACAAGTCAAAGGCAGGAGGTCAAGCCTCAGGAGCAACCCGACAATAACAAACAAGCCTGCAAAGTACAGCACTGCTGTGAAACCAAACTGTAACAAACCAGTGTTTGAGCAACACATGGTAAGTTAAAAGAAAAAAAGAGGTGGTGGTCAGGAAGGAGAATGATTTATTGTCCTGATTGCACAGATGTTTCAAACATCATGAAAACATTATTTCAACTTCCAAAGACGTGCCACTTAGATCAGGGGGTTCCCTTATAAACCTCCCTTTTCAGTTAGCGTTTGGGTGGGACGTGCTCTTCTCCTTGCTTGCTTCTGAACTCATTCCATTTATTTTGCCAGTTTTCTTTCTTACATAACTTGCCAAAGTATGGACATTATTTCAGAGTACTTGCATCACAAAATGGCTTCTTGCTTTTTCCCCTCGGTGTAGCTCTTATGCTGGTTTGCCTGGTTCTGTGAAGCAATTCTTACCTCAGACAAGCCCCAGTCACAATCCCAGTTGTGTGTTGGTGATGATAATACTGTACGTTCCACGAGGCGTACAGATAGTTCGGATTAGAAGCCTAATCCGAACTATCTAGTCCGTGCCGCGTGTAGCCGCGCGGCACGGGGTTCGCACTAGCCGGCTTTTAAAAATGGCGGCGCCAGCTTTATGCTAATGAAGCCCGGGAAATTCAAATCCCGGGCTTCATTAGCAAGTTCGGTATGCATACATTACCCCCCTAGTTCAAACTAGAGGGGTAGTGTAGACATACCCTGGGATTTGCAAAGCCTGCCTAACATAGCCAATGGGACCCACCAAGCTTCTCCCTTGGAGTTAGATGCCCACATCTGGGATGCAGGACAGTGCCTTCCTCTGCTTGGAATTGTCAGCAGACAAGCCTTTCTTGGTGTCAGGCACCCATGCTCTGTTGGACAGGAGGAGTTCCCTCATCACTTTATCCCAGGGTTAAAGTACAGGCAGTCCCCGGGTTACGTACAAGATAGGGACTGTAGGTTTGTTCTTAAGTTGAATCTGTATGTAAGTCAGAACTGGCATCCAGATATAGCCACTGTTGAAACTGATCAGTTTCAGCAGAGGCTGAATCTGGACGCCAGTTCCGACTTACATACAGATTCAACTTAAGAACAAACCTACAGTCCCTATCTTGTACGTAACCCGGGGACTGCCTGTACAGATACTGGGCAAGAACTTAGTCACGCTGTACTCTGAGATTGCTGGTAATTGGCAAGAGAATCTGCATTCAAAGAAGAGAACCAAGAATGGAAGGGAAAAGCGGTTTCACAGTTTGTGGCATTCTTAGGAGGAGTTTGCTAACAGCTGTGTTACACAATACCCTGAGAATGAGTGTTTTACACAGTCCCTGGTCTCCAAGTCGCTGCTTGCAACTATAGAGATGTGGAAACCACCATTGCTTTTGCCATTGTTGCGAGGGGATTGCAAATACTGAATACACCCACAAAAGTGCACATGGTAGCAAGACTTTCAAGCCAACAGGCAGGTAGGAGAGATGGTTAGTAATGTGGCAAGCCCACATTAGTCACTAGAAGCAGCCGGGGAGCTGCGTGAGGCCCACTGCTGAATGTGCTATCCAGCGGCAAAGGGCAATACTCAGCCATTATGGTCTCTCAGACGGCTTGATAAGTGACAATGAACCCATATATAACGCACAAGTTCATTCTTTTACAGACATGAATGGAGAGCATCACGTCAAGTCAGCACCGTTCCATCCAGCCTCTGAGAGACTTGCCACCTTACCATTTTCTAGTCAACTAACAGATTTTAAGAACAGACAGGACCATAATGATCACCTAGGCTGACCTCCTGTGCAATCCAGGCCAGATACCGTTATTCACATAGGCTGTGTCTACACTGGCATGAATTTCCGGAACTGCTTAAAACAGAATACTATGGGCTCTGGGAGTTCCAATCCTCCTTCCATCTGAGGGGAAGTAAGGATCTGAATTGGGATTTGCTACCTCTCGGTTTAGCTTCACAGACACACAGTTTGAATTATGGGGAGGTGATTAGCACTGTGCACCATAGTGCTGCACAGTAACTCCCCCGGCTGGATGCTGCACTAGGAAACTAAAAGGTTCCTTGTTTGTGTTAGTGTAATCCTGCAGTCCTACCATCGTCACCTTGACAAACCTTAACAGGGGACATAGCTTTCCTTCAGATCAAGCACAACTCAGACTGATCTCAGGCTAGGTCCTGAAGTCCAGGTGCCTGTGTGTTCCGTCTATGTGTCTGAAACTTTGGCAACAGTAGGATTGCTGGCAATGCTGTGGCATCCCTTGGTAACCTGGAGGGACCGAATCTCCCTGTTGTTGCTCCAGGGCCATGGGAGTTCTGTGCCCTTGTGTGCCCTCCCTCCCCCTACTACGTGTTCCTGAATGAAACCCAAATATAAATGATAAAAACAAGTTTCCCCACTAGTATCATTCTGCTTCTGCACTCGAGGAAAAAAAATGATGCCTCATTTTTAAATTAAATTCCTTTTTTATTTTGGCAAGCTGGAGAATTCAGAATACAAAGAAGTGTTTCCAGCAAGCAAGGTAATGGATATTAGATAAGGATCGTTTGCTATGGTTTTTTTAATTGGCAGATGAGGACTCCTGATGTGACTCTAATATAGCACATTTACTTCCCGACTACTTGATACGCAGAGATGTCAAGTCTAGGCGGTCGAGTGGCTTGCCCGTTTAATAGGATGGCAGTGAGAGGGAAAGGATGTATTTGCAGGGCAAAGACCATTATTACTCTCAAGATGTTCCTAATAGGCAGCTAGAAGAATTTCCATTATTATGCACGGAAGTGTTACTTGATGAGGAGAAAAAGGTGTCATCTTAAAGCTCTCACCCTTCAGGTAGTATCTTGCACGGCTTACCAATCAGTGGAGAAGAGCCAACGGTGGGGGAAGTGCAGGAAGTACACTTCTCTGTGTTCCACTGAAGCTTTTCATCTGTGGCTGTAGGCAGTAACACATTCCAACAGAGCTTTCCTTCTGCCTCCACAGCTGACACACTTGCTTATGCTTTGATGACCTCCCTGGCCTACTGAAATCCCACCAGTGACAGGGAAGGGTTTTCCTTTGCAGCCCCTTTGGGCCTCACAAAGTTCTTCTAATGTCCTGTCTGTGTGGGTGGGATGTGTCTCAACCCAACTTACTATTTCCATGTTAGTTCTACAGTAGTGTAGAAGCAGACAGGGCATAGTTAAGGGGCATAGAGCACATCCAGCTGGGCTAGCAGGGCTCAGGTGCTGAGTATAAAAATCATAGGAAATAAGAACTGGGAACTGGGTAGGGATGAGACCAGGCTCAGGAAGGCAATGCTTTTCTTTTACTCACAGACTACAAGAATTTTTGTTTGAAAGCCCTGGTATGAGCAGAGGAGTTGCCTGGATTGCTGTTATTCCCTATGAAGGGGAAGAACATTTGCCATCCAAGCGCTTGTCATCCTGAAAGTTTGTTTAAATATAGGGAGATCCCAGGCTGTCTAACTACCCTCTAGTCTATTCAGAAACGGGCAATTAAAATAGTCTTTCTCAAATGCCACAAATTATATCTCCTTCTCTGAATCCCTTCTTGGCTTCCTTCCAGTATGCAGAATTGAATTCAGCTCTTTTCACAGAAGCCTTGCTTAAATCTCTGCTCTGCTTTCTCATCATACTGATTCTTGGCCCTTCATTCCTCCCAGGAATTCAGCTTCACTGGCACTCCCTCAATTTCCTTCCCTTTTTGTGGTTTCTCTGCCTTCTTCCATATTTTCCCTTAAACGTTTTCCCTATCTCTCTATCTCACACATCCACCTTTATTCAAATCTCTTTTGAAGTCTGACTCCTTCGGAGAGGCAGACACATGCTAAGGCTGGTCAGGGCATAAGATGGAGAGAAGTAAGGGAGTCCGTCACAAATTGCTGAATGGCCATTTAGTGACTAGACTTGTACCACTGAAGCCAGTGAAAGTTTTGGCTATGAATTCAATGGGAGCAGGACTGGAGGTTTAGTCTGCAAGCTCATCAGCACAAGAATTACCTTTTCCCATAGGCCTTTGTGTACAGTTCTGTGCACATTGTTTGTACTTAATACATTGCTATTTATAACAATTGAGCCTGCATGCACATAAGCTGATAGGGTATAGACAGAGCCTAAAAAAGGGATAGTAAAGTAATGGATTAGGACACCACCAAATTAGCAAATTGATTGAGGACTGTACTTCAGAGCCTCTGTAGACTCAAAACCTTAATTTGTCCATATTTTATTTGAGAAACACGTAAATGCTGAATAAAATAAATGAATCTGAGTGTGCCATTTATTTTCAAAAACTGCTGATTGAGTGTGAGGATGAAATAGTCAACATGGATAAACATATTTATTTTAAAAGAGCCAGTTGTAAAGTATATTATGTGAGGTACAGGTATGATATAAAGTCCCAACTTCACCTAAGAGATTGACACAGTCATATATTCTTGTATTATGCTTCTGGTTTATATTAGCTCACATTCTCTTTCAGAATATGCCCTTCTGTGTTCTTACAATCATAGCTATAACAGCCCAATGGCAAGCCCATTTACTACCTTCATGTTGATTATTTGTATTTCTCTTCTCTTATACTGTCTTATGAAGGAGTGTACTTAAGAGTGTTCATGGCTGGATGTAAAATGTTTGCTGTAAATACCATTCTTAAAAACAATGTTCTTTATTGCAAACTGATTTGATGTTAGTAATGGTACAAATATATAATCAAGGCAAAATAACCTAAAGTCTTTTCACAGGAGGAACGTCTGTAGGCATCAGGATCCCGAAATTCTAATCATGGTTGATCAGAAATATCAGTTTTAACGCAGTAAACTGGATACACAGCAAACTTTATGTTCCAGTTCATCTGAGCCCACTTCTTTTTACCAGACATTAAAGATACATTGATGTTGTTCTCTTTTGGACAAATTCTAGAATAAAAGTTCCTATTAAAGGAGCTTAAAGATACAGTGGAATGTTTGGGAAGTATTTGGTGTGTGTATGTGATATGCAATATTAGAGGCTGAAGTTATTTTG